TCCCTCCGCCTCCGCCTCCGCCTCCGCCTCTCCCTCTCCCGGGGAAACCCTCCCTTCAGAGGAGGAGCTGCTGGCGGGGCCACCTTCGTCCTCTCCCCCTTCCCCCCTTGGATGGCCGCTTAGGGCCGCCTAATCGGCCCCGGAGCCATCGAGCGGCGGCGGCCGTGGCTGAGCGTGGCTCGGGTCTCTTCGCCCAAGCAGTGCCGAAGCTGCTACTCAGACCCAACGGGAACCCGCTGATTTCCTTCTTCCTCCCGGCTCAGCCGCTGCTATGCAGCCCCTCACACGTCCACGTTTCCGTGGCTTTCCTGTCACAGCTACGTTCTGCATGCATAAAGCGTGTGTACTGTACATCTTTTAAAATTTCAATGATCCTGAACCGGAAGTTGAGGGATGGTTTGATTTTTTGCAGTAACGAAGCTGGTTGCCTCGGTTTTCAAGCCATAAGTCCTATGGGTCTCTCGCCTTCCAAGCTGGGCTGAGAAAGCACTCGTGCTTCAATGCGCTCTTGGAAACGGCTCAGCTGATCGCTGAAAGACAAGTCACTCCGCCCTGCTCGAATTTCTCTGTAGCTTCAAACTTGAAATGGGTTCACAAGACCTGCTGACCTAAATGTCATTCCGCTGTTATGTGAATGCAGCTACCATGGTGAGTCTATGTGTCACTGTGAACATAGATCATTAATTCATAAACTGTAGTTAACCGTGACTCAGCATGTTGCACAAACAACCATGGCATTTGAAGTGGGAGCTATTACCCAGCAGAAAAAGAACATGCCTTTATCCTTCAACAGCTGAACGATACAGCATGACGGAGCCTCGGTTCACAGAATGCACTTACTCCATTTGCACACCCTGGATGTGCAGATTCTATCTCCAATAAACAGCCTCAGAGATAGCTACTGTATGTCTCAGGCCATATAGGTTATAGCCAGCATCTTGAATTACATTTGGAAACAAACCAGTAACCACTGCAGCTCTCTTCAAGGTGATGTACTGTTGCAGTAATGGGTGTGGCAGGTTCTGCACGAATCAGAGCTTTCAAGTGGTTTCCAAGACAGCCTATATACTGTAGAATGAATTGCAGTGGTCCAGGTGACAGGCGACAAGAGCATGAGTTACTGTAATCAATGCCTCCAATTCCAGAAAAGGCAGCAACTGGCCAGAGCTGGTCAAAGGCTCTTTGCCACAGCCTCCACCTGTTTTTCCAGTAGGAGCCATGAGTCCAGAAGGACCTCAAAGCAAACAAGCAGTGCAATTTTTAAAAATCTGGACTTCATACAACAAATGTGAAATAATCTGAGTCACTGACTTGATTCACTTACTCATGATGATCTAAGATAGTACTGCTGAGAGTGAAAGTTTGCCACCGGTAAATGCATTCCTGAAGAAATTAGCATATGATTTTATTAATCTGAAAGTCAGTTTTAGGGCACATGCTCTTGCTTCTGCCTCTGCAGTAAATCCCGGTCTCCTCCATCAGCATGAGTCATAGTTTAGAGTTGAGAGGGAGAAAAGCTGAGAGCTGTATTTTACTTCAATTCATTTATTTGTTTGAGAGCCAAGAATTACAGGAGTTATACCAGTGTTCTGAAGACATCACCAAAGGAGGCAGAGGTGGAATTTAGGCTTGTCTCATCCTATATCAGGGAAAGCAGAGGCTGGCCATGCTACAGTACAATGCAGCATCCATAGATGCCATAGTCCCCCCTCAAGTCACTCCAATTTCCAAAAATCTCCAAAGTTAAAAAGTATTTTTATTAAAAATTGCAACTGCAACGATAAAAACGAATACAAACTAAAAGAAAAAGAAAAAATAGAAGGTGCAGAAAAGAAAAAAATCAAAAGAAAAATAGAAAAGAAAAAAATATAGTAAAGAAAAGAAATATATAAAGAAAAGATGTCCCCCTTCATCACAAGAATAAACAATTTTAGTAACTTATCACCTCTTTAAATACAACAAATGATCTCTTCTTCCCATATCCCATCACTTATCTAAAAATACATCCATAAAACCTTGTCATTTCAGTTCTGATGTCAGCAAAAGTCCATTAAGGGTTACCAGAGATAACAGCACATCTATTTTAACCTTGATCAAATAAACCAACTTTATATTCCTTC